TCTTTCTCACCTATCTATTGAATCACCACTTTCAAACGGTGCTTCTTTGGATATCCTCAATCACGATTCGTTGTCCAATAAGCTCCTGCCGTTAAGTATTCCGGATGCCACAGTTGAAGATCGGTTTGTGGCTATTAGAAGTTCGGATGAAGATAAGAATGACTCCAATGTGGTTGATTTTTATTTGAATGCTGACGAGCTACGCCATTTGGAAGAGGCTTTTAGTGATTTATCAACAGGTCCACGTGACACCGGTGCAATTGCAACCGCGACCATTGAGAAGGTGGATGGATTGCCAGCCTCTCAGTCGTCAGATCAGGCAACTAACGTTTCCTCTTTGCCTTCTCTTCCCTCGGATCCAAATGACAATCAGGTCCTACCATCTGGTAGCACTGGAGTTCATGTCTATCTCATGCATTATTCCAGATTTTATTGTTATCACGCTTTCTTCTGTTCGCTTCCTTTTGATCTTGTTCTCTTTAATTTTTTTTTCTCTTTGAGTAGTGATTAGTTGTCATTTTACAGGATGTGGCTCCTTACGACGACCAGGAAAATCAACCACCCGTTAGTGCAAGTGAAAAAGTATATACTCAAGATTTGCACTCAAATTCCCTATCTGACGTCTACTTTTACGGGCGACCTCTATCAACTATCGTTGAGTGGCAAAGTCGTGAGTCTTTCTCGGTGAGTTCTGAAGATCATTTCCTTTTTACGGAGAGGTTCACATGTTTTTTGCGTCATCGAACTAAGTTATTGCCGTTTCTTGTTGATGTTACGGCAACGAAGTGGTCGAATGCTTTCGTCTCATGCTATTGAGAACTCTCATTGCCTTTGTCCTCGCTCCGTAGTCAACAACCGCTTATCAAGGAAAGTCGCAAATGCATGAAAAGACTGGGGAGGCTTTTGCTGTTAACGAAACGCCAGAAGACGCTTCTGGTTCGGTTTTCATGTCGAAGTTACCGTCTTTCTCTCACAGTTTGCCTCAGGGTCCTCGAAGATCTGGTATTGTGTATTTC